CATTAGGTGGATTAGGTTTAAATCCCTGGACTGCTGAGAAATGCTAAAGAAATTGATGTCACATCTTGAGGTTATGTTGACTGTTGCTTTACAGATGCATCAGCTGGGAAGTTGCAACCTTCAATTGTATGCTTGAGACTTTAAAAAATGTTCTAAAAAAACTGCATGGCATTTGTTCACAATGTCTCTGCTGACCTTGCTCTGATGATAATCCTCTTTTTATGAGGTTTTAGACAATCTTCTGTATTCTGAAGAAAATAACATCACTGACAACTAGAAATAAATGGGCAGAAAAAAATACTTCCAAGGCTCATCCCCCTTCCCTCCTACCAGTTTATGGTAAAACTTAGGATCTGTTAAGAATGTAACTTGTGCTGGCAAAGAGGTGGGAACACTTGTTTTAGCGTTCATTGAAACCAGGAACGTGTTTGGGCAGGCTATGGGCACTGCTCTGCTCTGTGGCTCCAAGGCCAGTTTTTTAAGTTCCTGTCCTGCCATAAACTTTTCATGTGAAAGTCACTGAAGGTTAAAGCCACAAAAATTTTAGGATGCTTTATTCATGTCTCAGCTGTCAGGGCAATCTCACTAAATGCCAGTTTTACTGACTTTCCCTTTCCCTCATGTCTTTTTCACCTTCTTGCCTCTGGGGATTTACTGTAAAGCAAGTCACAGAGATAATCTGGTTTGAGAATCTTCCTTTGGCAGGGAGGAGGGGAGCATAGCTCTGGGAACCTGGTTTCTTTGTAGCTTGCCTTTTTTTGCCAAACAAGTATATATGCCATGTAAGAAGGGCTGCCTGATCTATAGTAGAAAGTGTGTGGATCTTTAAGTTTGAGTGTTGAAAGAGTTGTTTCACACACCTGTGGAATGACTGCTAACTGAACAAGCTATGGGCCTTTCCTGGAACAATTCAGGTGCTGGCTAGAATTTCCTGATGGCTGCTACTTGAGAAAATTCATAACAGAACTCCTCTCACAGTAACAGCCAGCCTCCTCGTTTTCTAGTGCCATTTCTTTTGTACAGTTAAATCACTTTTTGTCTCTTCTGTGTGCATTTATTCTTTTTGCTGCTAGTGCTAAGTGGCAGATCCATATTTTTATTTACATAATCCAAAGAATAGTTTTTGTCGTATTTAAAACTAGGCTGATTTTAAGACACAGGCAAGCATACAAAGAGAAATGACCCTGTCTAGGAAGGAAGAGCAATTGGATAATATGGGAGTAGTTTTTCTTTATTGTCATCATGTCCTTTCTTCAAGGAGAACTTCTCATTATTTTGTTGTATGTCTGTTCAGTCTGGCACAAAAAAGGAAGGATTAGCAAACTGATGTGTTAAGAGCAAAATATAAAAATTGTCCCTTCTCTTCAGGGACCAACACTGGTCAACATTGAATCTGTCTCAAAAAATCACCTAGATGAGTTCCAGCACCGTGGTTTTCATGCTCCAGTGGCTTTGGTTGTATTAGAGATAAACTTGTTTCCATTAAAAGCTGCAGAACCTAATCTCTGTGATTAAATAGTAAGAAACCTCAAGGCACAACTCAACCAGAAAGGAACTAAAATAATGACATAGTTTTTACTATTTAGCTTATGTGGCCAGTCCTGATCAACCCCTCCACCCTGCTCTCGCCTGGTGTGCTAATGATGAGCAACATCATGGAGACTCAAGGCTCACCACCTGCTGGAAAAGCAGATGGACCATGAGAAATGTGTGAGGGACGTGCAAACATAGCTCCTCTGGTGACAGCCCAGACAGCATGTCACCAAATTATAGGGAACAAAAGGAGTCCCAATAAGTCGCCTTTGCCACTAAGAAGAGATGCACACTGAGAAATCCTATTGTAATACTGCTAATGGAAGAAAATAAAGGGGAAATAAAGGAAAGGAATGTACCTGGGCTCAGAGAAAAAGTTACTGCCATTGGCAGCCTTTCAAGGCAGTTAAGAAGCTTCACTTCCCTTCCACATCAGTGTGTGATGGCTCCTTTGCATTATTAGCTCCTCATGACTAGATAATTTTTATTTAACCATGGCGAATGGCAGCATCCCAGAGGGAGGCCATGAAATTCACTTATCACTAAGCACAGTCTGGGATATTGACTGACTGACAGAGGTCAGCAGGTTCTGCTGCAGATTGTGATTTTGGGCAAATAATTCTCAAATATTTTCAGCTCAGGTTTCCCATCACAAAACAGGACAAATTCTATTTGTTTATATTTTAGGAGGGGTTGACAGCTTGAAGCACTTGGAGATTTCTTTCCCATCTGAGTGAAGAAATACTCTTTTAGTACTATGAAGCTTTAGAGAACTTTAAGTTATTTTTAGTTTATTTAGTGTTAAATGTGGCTTCCTGATCTTTTATTAAAACTAGGTTTTGTCTAGACATTTTTACTGGATTTGTAAAGTTATGTTTCAAGCCTGAATATGTGGAGATAAGTGGACACACGTAGAGATGCAGTCCATTTTTTTTTTTAATATATATTTTTTTCCCCAGATAAAATGTTTCTGGCTATTAATACTGCATGGAAAACATCCAAGGCTAGTCCAGTGACCTGGATGTTTTATCACCATGATGTGATAAAAACTGAAGCAGCTGTAAGGCAGGTGTGGAAATGAATGAAGTAGTAGAAATTAAAGTATTAAGGTGATTGCACACTTGACAGCTTTCACCACGCACTTGCTGACTGCAGTTCAGGCTTACCTGATAATGATCAGAGGAATGAAGTACACCAGGAAAGCCACCACTGTCATGTAGGGTATCCAGTAGGAGTCATCAGGCCAGAGAGCCCAGCACTGTACCTCCCCATTGGAGAGCTGCCGTTTCCCAAAAATAATCAGAGTCGGTATGGAAAACAGGAAAGAGAGGCTCCAGGCCACTCCAATAAGAACTTTTGCTTGTCTTTCTGTGCAACAGAGTCAAACAGACAGTGTTAATGGGGGTGCTGGCATGACTGGTACCTTGCAGCAGCACTGAGAGAGTCAGGGAGGAATTGGAAACTGGGTGAAATAAAGCAGTTCTGGACTGCAGGCAGCTGATGCTGAAAAAACTGCAAAGGAGAACAGGGATTTCATCTCCTTCTCACAGTAAAAAGTCATCTCATTATGGGTTTGTATTTTACATACTTGACTTAAAGATACTAAGAGCCCATGGAGTCTGAAACACTACGAGAACATAGTGGTCAGGGTCAGCAAGGCAGAAACATGAGGTGTAAATGGTTCCTCTGTGCCACCAAGACACCATGAATGAATGCAAAGGGCCATAGTCCAGCCCTACCACACACTTTCACCCTGGCCCAGCAAAGTGGTGGTCAGTAGGAGGACACAGAGACAGAAAAGAAGAAGGACCCCTTGTGCTACAGATAACAGAGGAAGGCTGAGACTGGAAAGGGCTACTTAAGACATAGACTAAGTTGGAGCATACTGGATGTATTGAGAGGGGAAACATCCTCCTTGGAATGGAAATTAAACCTTTTGATGCATCTTGTCATGAAGAAGCTCACAAAACATTTTCCACCAGGAAAAAAAACAAAATAAACCTCGGTTCAGGATCAGAACAAAGTCGCACAACCAGCTTCCTTTAAC